TACCCACCCCTTAGCAGCCAACACTTTGTTTTCCAGATCTCTGAGTTTCCCTTTTCTAGGTATTTAAAACTGTTACGAACTGAGGTAAGTTCGTCTATAATCCCCACCTTCACTTGTTAAACTCCTAACCCCTAACAAGTCTGTCTTTAGACACAGGGACACAGAGGAGTTAATTACAGTAGAATGAGGTCTCAAATGTAACACTAAGATGAGCCACCAGAGGTCTCTCTCTGGACATGCACTGAGGGAAGGTCAGGAAGGCATTCTCAATGAAAGCACTCTCAGTGCCTTCTCTGGTACTTCTCAGCTTCCAGAACTTGGAGAATATTCTTTGTTTAAGTCACCCAATTTATGAGACATCAGCCTGAGTTGACCCATATACCTTTGAGTGGAAGTACAACAGCTAGGCTTTCATGACTTTCTTCTCCATAAACATAGCATTGTAAAGGTCCCATCCTTGCTATGTTAAGCAACTGCTTCAATCCTTATTTCAGGTGAATAATATCCTATGGGATGGGCGATCTATATTTTATCTATTCCTTAATGGATAGATATTGTTTTCAGTTTTGTAAACTGTGGGAGTCTGTCTGAGTCTAGCTCTGACCTGTTGAAGGGTTCTTGAGGGGGAGGAGACAGGAATGAGGAAATAATAGATAGAAAGATAAAAAGAGAGGATAAGAAAGACAGAGACACAGGATAGCTTCAGGAGGTCCCTCGGTCAATACCCAGTCACCCCAAGGTTTATTCCAAAGGGCTTTTTTATAGAATACCAAGGGACGAGGCAAAAGACCTTCCCCTTTTGAGATCAAAGCACACGTACAGGCAAGCACAGACCCTTCAAAACACCTAGTAACCATGCTCATGGCCAAATCATCCCATTATGCAGCGCTGCTGAGTAAAGCAAGCTCAGATTCTTGGACCTTGAGTAAGGTCTCATTGGGAAGCCTCTGTGGGTCTCCATGGTAAACAGTAATGCTGAAGAAGTGTTTTGTTTTCCTTTCTCTCTGGTATGTAGTAGTGTCCCCTCCGTTCCCCCCTCCATGATCTGTGAGCAACACATTGGAAGACCTTCAGTGGAAGTCTGAAACCTCAAACAATACTAACTCCTATTTGTACCAGGGTTTCCTCTACTGTAGCTTTGATATCTATAAATATAGTGATATTTTATTTGTACTGAAATGTGATTTGTATGTTAATAAAGTTGCCCGGGGATCAGAGCTATTAGCAAGCCATAGCAAAAGCTGGGAGGTGGTGGTGCACTCCTTTATTCTAGCACTTGGTAGGCAGAGCTAGGCAGATCTCTGTGTGTTCAAGGATACAGCCAGCATTGGAGACACATGCCATTAATCTCAATACCAACCATAGAAGACCTGGAGGTCTGAACAGACAGGCAGTGACTAGGAGGTCATGTGGTTGGGTTTACAACCAATGAGAAGGCAGAACAGAAACTCTATAAAAAAAAAAAAAGACAGACACAGGAAGTAGCTCTCTTTCGGAGAGGTACAGCGACAGTGAAGGGTAAGGTTTTGAGCTCTTAGCTATTGCTCTGACCTCTTGGCTTTCATCTCTGCATTGGCTCTGTGTTTCTTATTTAATAAGATGGTTGGTTACATCTACATATAAATATCTGACAAACTTTAACTCATAAACCAGGGTAATAAATTAACAAAAATGATAAAACATTGATTATAATAATATATTCCAGGAAGTTATGTGGATGTGGTCTCTCTCATAATACTTCCTTAATGCAATTACCCTTCTTATAATGATGTGAATGGATACAGTGCACACATGCACGATGAAATGACATGAGGTGAATGGCACAGACTTTGTGATATAGTGTTAGGCTATTATTACATAAGGGTTACTTGACCAAAAGCATGTGATACCACAATAATTTGTCTTATAACCAAGGCAGCTACTAAGGACTGAGTGGGAAGGCTGTATACATGGTGTGGAGCTGGTAGACAAGGGGGTGCCTCACATTTTGGGTGGGATGGAACAGGGCAGTATGATATTTCATCATGCTTCTCATAACAATGAGAAATTTAGAATTATTTTGGAGTCTAAGACATAAAAACACAGACAAGGGACACTTGTATATATTCAGGAGTAGAATTGCTAGGCTGCATGGTAATTCTAGGCTTACATTTTTGACTATTTTTCATAATCCTCCACCACTTTATATTTCCAAAAGGAATGTCTGAGGTTTCCAGTTTCTCCAAATGCTCACCAGAGATACTATGTCTCTCCTTTTTTGAAGCAGCTATAGCATAATTCTGTCTTCTTGACTCATGTTGGGGCCTTTCTATGCATTTGTTGGTCATTTATGTATCTTCTTGGAGAAAGGTCTATTCTGATTTTTATCCCATTTTTAAGTTGAATTCTTGTTGAGTTCATTTTACTGTTGTGTCATAAGAATTTGAAAAATAAATCCAGGACAACAGATCTCTACATGATACATGATTTGTGAATATTTTCTCATGTTCTGTGGACTGTCTTTTCATTTTCATGGTAATGTCCTCACAAACACAAAGAAATTTTTTTGAGGATCAATCAGTCTTGTTCATTACTTGTGATTTTGATGCTATATTTAAGAAAACAATTCTTAGTTCACGGTTATAAATACTTATAGCTGATACTTTTCCTAATAATTTCATAGTTCAGTCCATAAGTTAGTTCTTTGGCACATTCTGGACAGTTATCCACATAGTGTAAGGTATGACTACACATTTGTTCCTTCCCATGTGAATACTTAGTTATCCCATTTGTTGAAAAAAAGTACTCTTTTCTAAAGACTTGTATTGATGAACTGGTTCGGATAGCCAGTTAATTGTGGTTGTACTTATTTGTTTCTGTAATTAAGAAGCATTTGTATTAACTGTATAATGGAAGCAAGACTTAAATCCATGTGGGTCTGCTCTTAGAAATGCAATCATATTTTGTTTCAATCCTGCCACTTCAAAATGGCATAAAATATTTATCAGCTTTCTATTTTTGTGTTGGGAGGATAAGCTAGAATTTTATGCTGCTTTTATAAATTAAATATTGTGTGAATTCATGGCACGAAGTTATGGTGCTTGATTTGGATAATTCAAAAGTGGGGAATGAAACCTCAGGCTGCAACCGTTTTTCCTTCCTAGTGACCAGTTTTATTAATAAATTGTGACCTTTATTCTTTTTTTTTTTTTTTTTTTTTTTGGTTTTTTGAGACAGGGTTTCTCTGTGTAGCTTTGCGCCTTTCCTGGGACTCACTTGGTAGCCCAGGCTGGCCTCGAACTCACAGAGATCCGCCTGGCTCTGCCTCCCAAGTGCTGGGATTAAAGGCGTGCGCCACCACCGCCCGGCGTGACCTTTATTCTTAAATAACATAGGGTGGCATTTGGGTAACTTTTTGAAAGACACAGAACATAAGCTTGCCGGAGAGACAAGAAATAACTTCTACATATCTGTTGGATCGAGCCTTGTTTATTTAGGAATCTTTATTGTTTGCTCTTTTTATATATTGTTTTCATAAATAAATGAGGATTCCAATTAATTGTTGGAGGCTTGAGAAGGGTATTCTCCCAAAGCCAACAAGGTTGGTTACTCATATGAAAAAATGAGAAAAGAATGCATTCATTTTCTTTCACTGGAAATGTTGCCTGGCTATGGCTGTATAAGATTATGTACAGCCCTGTTTTTGAACTCCTTGGAACTTAAACCACCAACACCGAGGGAGCTATCTTTTGCCTAATTTGAGATTTCCATTTGACTTGTGATTTGAGATTTGAACAGAAGAATCTTCCATAGGAGCTAGAAGGTGTTGTATGTTGTGTTTTCATTAGTACTGGTCAGCTGCTGTGGGGCTAGAAAAGTTGGGAGGAATACTGGAAATGCAAATTGAAAATATTCAGAAACTTAGCAGCAACTTTCCTATCCTTTTCTTCTTCCCAGTAAACTGACCTCAATGATTTTCTCATTTTCTTTGCATCTGCCACATATCCTCCGAATCCTTTTCTTTGTGATGGTATGGCTTTCTGTGGTAGGAATTTCTTCTTTCTATTTTTTGGGCTTAGTACATTTTCTGTTTATCGGAGATTCAACTCGTTTCACTTTTTTATCTAACTGTAACACACACACACACACACACACACACACACACACACACACACACACACACACACACGCAGCACTGTTCTAATGGGGGCAAGAAACATAAGACTAGTTCCTTAATTTTACTTACTATTTGGTGTGACTTTGGATCGGTACTTCTCGGATTTTTAAATTTGTTCTTTTGCCAAGGGGGGTGGGGGGGTGGAGAAAGACAGATAGAAAAAGGATGGGTTAGCTATCTTGATTGACATTCCCTCCCTTCCATGGGAGACTGAACAGACCAGTACTAAAAAAACAAAAAACAACTCTCTAAAATGCAAATCATTTCATAAATGTAATTGTGTCCTCTCGCTTGCTATCGTTTATAATTTCTTTTCGTTGAGACTGATTACAGTGCATGTTAGAAAAATCTCTCTCCCTCTCCCCCTCTCTCCCTCTCTCTCTCTGTCTCTTGTGTCCGTCCCTCTCTCTCTCTGTCTCTTGTGCCCGTCCCCCTCTCCCCGTTTTGTGCCTTGTGTATACCTGAGATGAGATTTCCCAGACGCTGCAGAACTTTGCAGTTCCGTTTTACAGCTTTAGTCATTTAATAATCAGGGAAAGAGTTGGAAGGGCAACTTTAAGAAACAAAACCCAAGCTCTCGAAGCCATACATTCAGATTGTCAGGGTCTGAACAAACCCCTCTCAGAGGAAGAGAGCAGCAGTGCCCTGGGCTGCTGCCAGGGACTAGACTCCCGCTACAGAGCCCGCGCCTGAAACCCGGAACTCTTGCAGGGAGCGGGGGGGGGGGGGGGGGGGGGGGGGGGCTGAACCAGGACTACAACTCCCGACATGCACGTTGGCGGAAGAGGATTCTACCTCCCCTTGACACCTTTTTCATTCCGGCTTCTTAGAGCCAAGATTGTGGTCTAGGGAATGAGCAGTAGTAACTTATAGAGACTGTACCCTTATGTGGACAGAAGCATTGGGAACATTTCACCTAATGCTCTAACCTCAAGGGGTGTCTAGCTTAGACATCGCGGAACCTCTGTTCCTATCGTCTGTTTCCGGGGGACATAAATTATGGACGGAGGTTGTGGCGCGACAGTTTAATTCTCCGGCGGCAGATTGTGGCGACGAGATGGTTCTGCCGGGGCTCATCAGGAAGCTTGGTAACTGTCTTTGTTGCCCAGGGTCGGAGGATCCCTCGGGTCTGGGCGTGGTGGTGCTAAGTTCCGGTGATGGGGTCACGCGGTCACCGCTCCTAGTCCCTGCTTGCCCAGAACAACCCGCGGACCTTGCTCAAACTGTAATCCTTGCTGTTTCTAGCGCACCTGCGGCCTCCCGAACACTTAATTTCCCCCCGGATTGTCTCCAGAGTAAATCACGCACATTTAGAATAAGTTATGGGTGGGTTGTCTTCAGAATTGGGAGATAAAATTACTTTGTGCCAACTTCTCTGACAGGCCATCAGCTGGTGGAGATCAGGGAACGCGCCCTCAAAAGTATCCTGTGCAAGATCGAGCACAATTTGATCTGCTATGCTGACCTGATTCAGGAAAGGTTGCTTTTTCTCCATTTGCTCGAATGGTTCAATTTCCCATCCGTCCCAATGAAAGAGGAGGTTCTGAACTTGTTAAGCAGATTGGTTAAGGTAACGTTTTGGAGTAAAGCAACCAGGGTCAAAATTAAATGTAGCATTTATTGAAAGACATACATGAGAGTTCAAATAACTTTGAAGACAACCAGAGGTGTTGAATTTTAATTCACCTGGATATATACTGTTGGTCATTTGTTGTAATAGCCCAATCTCACATTGTGCTGTACCCTGAAGTAGAACTACTAAGTTCTTGTATCTTCTATTTCTGATTATTTGCTGCCTGTTTTTTTTTAAATTTTTTTCTGATGTTTAATGTTTAATTTAGACATTTCAGTATTAAAAGAAACACATTTAAATAGTTTAATTAACATTGCATATAATGCGATTCAATTAAAAACAATGGTTTCTGTTCCTGTACCTTCTTTAAAGAGTAATTTAGTTGTCAAGACCAATGTCAAAATGTCAGTATAAGTTCAGTTTTTTTATACCTTTAAATCATTGTCCTCATGGAGGAATTCTAATGACTTTGGCATCTTGATTTACAGTAGGGATAGGATAAAGTGTCAGTAGAGAAAAGTAACTTACTTTATGTATAAAAGAAAGACTTGGAAGTAGAAGAGAGCTTATGAGGCAGGGGCCAACCAGTGGTGTGTGTATGTGTGTGTGTGTGTGTGTGTGTGTGTGTGTGTTGGTGAGACAAAGTACAATGATGAATATGTATAAAAGTGTCATAATAATGAAACCCATTTTCTAAGGTGACCATATCAACAATACAACATTTAAAAATAAAAGAGGAATTGGTAGTGTGTATTTTTAGTGCTCAGAGTCCTGGCTTCTTTCTCTTAAGATGACTCTCAAGTTTGTCTCTTTTACTTTATGTTTGATTCATGGAAGTTGTTTACTCTAGAGCACAGCAGTACAGAATTTGTTTTTCAAAACACGGAATGTTTGATTTACCAAAATAACTATGTTTTGATTGTGGTAAAATGAAGTTTAGAACATTTCCGTGTTCACGGCTATTCTTAAGACTTTTTCTTTTACTATAGTATCCCCCAGCGGTCCAACACTTGATTGACCTTGGTGCAGTGGAGTTCTTATCTAAGCTCCGTCCACATGTGGAGCCAGCAATACAGGCTGAGATTGATGGCATTCTTGATGGACTTTTTGTTCTTCCTTCAGAAGTTCCTGTACTGTGTTCTGCCACTTACCAAACTGATCAAATCGGTAACTTTTTTTTTTCTGTATTCAATGTTGTTAAATATTTTTGCTGTGTATTTTCTTTAAAATCTTTATTACATTTGTGTAATAAAATTTGTGTATGTATAGCCGGGCGGTGGTGGTGCACGCCTTTAATCCCAGCACTCGGGAGGCAGAGGCAGGCGGATCTCTGTGAGTTCGAGGCCAGCCTGGTCTCCAAAGCGAGTTCCAGGAAAGGCGCAAAGCTACACAAAGAAACCCTGTCTCGAAAAACCAAAAAAAAAAAAAAAAAAAAAAATTTGTGTATGTATGTGTGTGTGTATATCTATGTGAACAGTCATTTTTTTCTTGTTTTGGAAGATACAATATTCAGAGAACAAACTAGATTGCTTTTTTTGTTTGTTTTAATAATTATTGAAAGATTGAGAGAAAATAATATGATTTAAAATAAATAATTTTTATTTTATCAGGTGAATTGATAACACAGTAATTAATATATTTTCTTTTCAGAATTGTCACAACAACCCGAAGTTCTAACAGGATATTTCTCCCAAGACAAAAGTAGTTTCCAGCAGATGGAAGTGCCACCAGGGCCAGTAGGTATGTATATGTAGGGAGGTTTTTGACTGGTAAATAAGAGGATCAATGGACTCTTCTTCCTTGCTCTGAAGATATGTTGTGGTCAAACTGGAAAACTCTAGCACAAAATTTAATGTTTCATTTGCATTGTACTAGCTTTTGAGTCTGTGTGGTCAGATTTTATGCTTCAGTAACTGTATTCGAGCCACTGTAGGCAGGTGATGGTACTGTCACTAGGAGTTAGTGTAGCACGAATTCTAATTGGTCTTAATAAAAACCCAGAGCCAAATACTGGGGCAAATGCTGAAAAATCAGAAAAGCAGAGCAGCCAGCTACTAGTTCTTACCTCCATGAAATCCTCAGCCAGAAGGGCACTCAGCTCCTGTCTCCTCCCGCCTTATATTCCTCTCTCCACCCAGCCATATCACTTCCTGTCTCTACCTCCCTAGTGCTGGGATCAAAGGTGTGGGCCACCACTACCTGGCCTCTATGGGTCACAAGTGGCTAGCTTTGCCCCTGATCTGAGGCACACTTTATTTGTTAGAGCATACACAAATATCACAAGTTAGTGCTTGTTGAACACAGGTTCTTGTCAGGTTTGTGCCGTGAATGGTACGTGGGTGGTCTTATTCATTCTCCAGCTTATGAAATGGTAACAACAAATCAGTTGTTCTGCTTGGAGACTTGTGGTCAGCGTAGCTTCCTTGTCATCACTATTTGTCTAGCAGCCAGTTGACATAAGATTAGAGCATTGTGGTTTAGTGTTCTCTCTTCCAGGTCTCTGTGTGTGGTTGTCCTATGTCTGGTTTCTGCTCTTGTACTTCTGTTGTAGAGACCTTCCTGATGATTCTCTGTGGTGACTTAACATTAATTTGTTTTCTATTGCTGTGATAAAACCATGACCAAAAGCAACTTGGGAGGAAAAGGTTAATTTCATCTTACAGCTTATAGATATTATGTGCACACTGTCATGTTTGATGTTTGTTGTTCCTCTAACAGGAAACTCGACTGTGAAGTGGCTGAAGTTTTCTGTATTTCCTTGGCTACCCCTGACCACAACAGATAGACATGTTCTCTCCTCCAATGAAAGGTACAGTTCTGCCGGGCGGTGGTGGCGCACGCCTTTAATCCCAGCACTCGGGAGGCAGAGCCAGGCGGATCTCTGTGAGTTCAAGGCCAGCCTGGGCTGCAGAGCGAGATCCAGGAAAGGCACAAAGCTACACAGAGAAACCCTGTCTTGAAAAACCAAAAAAAAAAAAAAAAAAAAAAGAAAGGTACAGTTCTGATGTAGTGCAGGTCTTTTTGATTCTTTGTAGCCATAAAAATCTGATAGTTAGCACCATTGGTTTTCATCTGGAAATGGTCACAAGTGTTTAAAAGAGGTACAATTTTCAGTATTTCAAAAAAGAAAGACAGAAAATTATTGTACGTCTATATCTTTGAGCAGTTTACCTGTCCATTTTTTTCCCCATATGGGGTGTCTGTAGTCTAGGCTGGCCTCAGACTCACTACTTGTCATCAAGGATGACCTGGACGTACTGGCTCCTCCCTGTACTTTGCTCCTCTCCTGCGCTGTGGTGATAAACATGCACTGTACATCTGGCTTACCCAGTTTCTATTTGTGGTTGGAATCTTACATACTCTTTCATGACATGCAATCTCTTATTGTGTAGATTGATTGCCCATTTCCTGTGTCCTTCATGAAGAACAATGGAAAAATTAAACATAAGTAATCTTTTTGGTAGAATATATTTTAAAATGTGGGCTCCATTAGGAGAAAAACTTACCACTGTTGAGAAGGTTGGACATAACTGTGTTGATCTTCTCTAGTGTGTACTGATTTTATTACTTTCAGAAGTAGAGGGCTGATATATAAAAGTTTGCAGAGCTTTGTTTGGTTTATTTTAGGGCTGATCATATTGGAAAGCACTTTTAATACAAGTACTCTTTAGAAATAGACAAGTAGATCTTGGTAAGTTTGAGGCCAGCCAGGGCACCATATTGAGACCCAATCTTAAATATTAAAAATTGAGAAAGTTTTATTTGTATTTTTAATTATATGTGTCTGAGTGTGGGTTTGTGCATGTGTGAGTGCATGTGCCAGAGAAGTCCAGAAGAGGTCATCCAGTCCCCTGGAGCTGGAGTTACAGGTGGTTGTGAACTGAGTAATGTGGGTGCTGGGAACTGAATGTGGGTCCTCTGCAGGAGCAGCATGTGCTCTTGACTACTGACTTGTCTCTCCAGTCCCAGAGAGTGTTTTTATTATCCATATTCACTTGGTACAATTTCATACAACTCACAATAAATGAGTTGCTTGCCTCTTTTGATAAGGTGTGAATTTAGGTGAAAAATCAAATTTGAAAGAGTTAAGGCAAGATACAGATGATTTCTGATAATGCTCCCATCATTTTCTTAGGGCAAAATATTGAAGAGGTAGTGCCCACCTTAAAAAGGGTTGGGGATGCTTTATTAGTTGTGAGTCAGTACCTAAGGAAGAGGTGGACTGACTCCAGCTGAGTTCTTGAGGTGGATTGTATACAATTGCTGCTCTTCAGGTAGATAGAAACTGAGGGGTGTGAGATAAGATGCCTAGAATAGGGAAGATGACTAAATAATCGAATTCCATGAAATTACCACTATACAGGCTGTTATTTTTTCTTTTAATTAGAAAGTTGTGTTTGACCACACCAGTCCCATTTGGTAGAACTGTGATAGTCTTCACACTCAGGGGTTAATGTGATGTAGCTCCTGTTCCTGAGTGTGCTCTGGTGGAGAATCAAAGCCAGTGAGCACTCTCACCACATCACAAAGTGCAGGTATATGGAAGAAGCTCCTCCTCAGAGTTCACTGCGGAAAGATGGAGAATGCATGCCCGGGAAAAGTGCTGCTGCTGCTAGGCATAAGGTGTACTGGAGACATGCCATTAGTTGACATGGGCAGGCATAGGTGGACTCTTTCTGATGTCTAACTCTGTTGTCTTTAGCTCTCTGAGAAGTAGTAACCACACCCTGATCTGGAACACATGTGAGCTTCTGAAGGACGTGATCATGCAAGACTTTCCTGCTGAGATTTTCCTTCAGAGACCAAGGATTGTTCAGGTAAGTATCTGTAATTGCTTTAGGTTTTAAAACAGTACAATTTATCTCACTACATACTAGCAAATTGCATGGCAGAGTAATAGTCTTTAGGAAGAAAACTTGTATTAATATATTGAAAAAAATGAAGCACTGAGTTATTTAAACTGCTTTCTCTCTAATTTATCTGGATAGTTATAGTTCTTTTAGTGGACAGTAGTTTGTTGTTCTACCAAGTTTGTCTATTTTCAAATTGTCATTTTTAGATTATCTTCTTTTTTAAATTTGAAGTCTTAAATTTCTTGTTGTGTGTGTTGACACGAATATCAAAGTGTGCAAGTGGAGGTCAGAAGACAGCTTTGTAGAGTTGATTCTCTGCTTCAACCTTGCTGCAGGTTCTGGCCATCAAGTTTAGGTCACCAGGTTGCATGATAAATGCCTTTACCCACTGAGTCATCTCACCAGACCAATTTATGGGTAATCTAAGGGAGAGAATAACCTTTGGAAGTTAGGGGTAGGCAGCAGTAACCTTTGAGTATCTTATGCTTAGGGCATAATGCTGGAGAAGTATGTTATCAATGAGCAGTATTGATTCGCGCTTTCCCTTTGTGCAGTCTGTTGCTTCTCCAGTAGATAGAGATTCAGGTGGGCATCGTGACATATCCATAGCATCTGGTAATACCTGAGCTCTCAGTCCTTACTCACGCTGAGTGGACCTCAGTGACTAGCACTGTGGGCACCTTCCATCAGAGATGGCAAATGCAAACAAAAGAAACAGCTGTTCATGACCAAAGCCTAAAATGCACACAAATGTGTGAGGTGCAAAGGACTTGCTGTGATTCTGTGTGCTTCGTAGTGCAAGGGGACTTTCCTTCTCCCAGATGGGGTGTTCTACAGATATTAGAAATAGGAAACACTACTTTAGTCACTCTTTTTATTACTTTCATTTCTTTATTTTTTATTTTATGTGTATAAGTGTTTTATCTGTGTGTCTTCACACCACTCGTGTGCCTGGTACCCATGGAGGTCAGAAGTGGGCATCAGGTCCCCTGGAACTGGAGTTATGGATGGTTGTGAGCCATCATATGGGTGCTGGAAATTGAACCTAGGTTCTCTGCAAGAGCAACAAGTACTCTTAACTGGTGAGCCATCTCACCAGCCCTAGTCAGCTTTTGCAAATTGTTGAGGTGAGGCCTAGCTATGTTGCCCGGGCTGGCCTCAGACTCACGGGCTCAGGTGTCCTGGCCTCTGAGCAGCTGGTACTGCAGCAGGCATGTGGCACACCTTGACCTGTGGAGTTGATTCCCTCCTTTTACTTGTTGTGAATTCTGGGCATCACACTCAGGGTGTCAGGCTTGTGTGGCAAGAGTTTTGACCCTCTGGCCCTAGTTTCTTATTTTATCAAAATTTGCAACCTTAATTCTTCTTTGACTATTCACCTTTCCTAACTTAAGTGCCACATCCTTTTTTCTTTTTGCATGTAGTTCTAAAAACATTAATTAAAAACAAAACAAAACAAAACAAAAAAACTTAGATCCTGTTATATGTGTCCTGGAACTTGCTGTGCAGATCAGACTGCTGCCTTAAAGCTGTGATGATCCTCCTGCCTCTACCTAACAAGTGCTAGAATCCTGGACCTGCCCACCAAGCCTGGCTACGTCGTTCTTTGGAGTTAAGCTGTCTGTGACTGTCTGTGACTCTCCCATCTCAGGGTCTTTTGTGTCTGGTGAAGCTGGCCTTTGCAGGAGATGGGAAGCATCGCGTGGCGTTACAGTCGGTATCCTGTTTGCAGCAGCTGTGCACGTGTTTAAGAAACAGACTCAACTTTTACCGAGACCCCAACCTTTTCTCAAATAAACAAGGTACTTGGCTTATCTGTTCACCAGATAGTGATATTCTTTATCTTCTTCTGCACTTGAACTGTTCACTGCACCTGAAAGTTTACTGTGTATGCATTTCACAGTACAAATTCCCACTCCTAAAATGTTATCGGATCCTGGAACAGAAGCTAGGCAAGTAACAGAACCACCACCAGCCCCCCCCCCCCTTTTTTTTTAAGTAAAGCAAAGTTGGAGTTGCTACGAGAAAGACTTTCACAAAGATTTAGGTGTGGGCACTAAGAAAGAAAGAGACACACTGAAGGACAGTTGTAGCAGGAATCTTAAAAGTTCTTATTAATAAAATAATAAGCACACCTCCAAAGGTTGGTGCTAGCTTAAAGAGATTTGATTTAAGGGTCTTAACAATGGCTACATATGTGATGTTGGTGGCTTTTGAAGATAAATTGCTCAAAGGACTTGATAAAATATCAGGTAAAATGTTTTAGTATACTTATTTTTATCCAAAGAACTTCTCTTTCCTAGATGAGTTTATAAGGTGCATTGTATGGGTTTACAGGCTCATAAAATAGGTCAGGAAAGGTCAATGGAATTCTAACGACAGGAAGTCAAGTCATTCATGGTTCATAACTTTCTGAGAAAATTATATACGAATATATATTCCTTTGCAGATGGTTTAAAATTATTCTTCAAAGATTAATTTTTATTCTTTTTAATAATATGTAGTTTTATGTCTCTGTGTGACTATTTGCACATAAGTACAGGTACCTGAGGAAGCCATAGATTTGGATCCCTTGGAGCTGGAGTTATAGATACATGTGATGCATCCGATGTGGGTATTGGGAACCAAACCTGGGTCCTGAGGAAGAGCAGCAAGTGTTCTTTACTGCTGCACTGTCCGTCCTGTATTCTGGCTGCCCTCACGCCACGTCTCCTTCCCTTTTCTGTCATGTTTCCCCTCTGAGCCTTCTGGCTTTTCATCTTAAGGTTGGCTTAGCAGAAGTCCCATTTTCTGAAGCTTCTTTGTGGTGACTTTTCTTCCTTAGACATTTGCAGGTGCTTTTCGGTTTAGTTCCAGATTCTCTGTCCTTATGGTCCTGGGGATTAGGATTCGGACTGTGACAATTCATGTGGGACTTAGGGAATTTTAATACAAGGTATATATTGTGTTAACAAATTGTTTTGTTTGAAAAACACTGATTTGTATTTTATCAAAACCCTGTTTGTGTTTTTTGAGTTGTAGCATCTGTAGATGTGCTGGCAGCCACAGGCTTTTCATAGGAAAAGTGCCACTTAGTGGGCAGGTGGGGTACAGGCTGGCCTAAGCGGAATGACCTCTACAACCTGATTGCTGTGAGCCTACACACTGTGCCTTGAAAGCCAAATACGAAACTCCAGTCATTTGTTACCCTGCTTTACAGTCTTCTTTACTTGGGAACTTCACTTATCCTCTGCTACTTGAGTATTTGTACTTAACGTTGCAATTACTATAGTTTTAAAGGCTGTGGGCTCTCGCTATATTCATGGGATATGGCTTTCTGTGAATGACCCCAGAGAGCTGGACCCCCCATACTTTATTAGAGAAAGAGTTCTAGTATTAACTGAAGATCAGCTATCTATTCATATATGCTTCTGTGTCTCTTCTGGGTAGGTAGCACTGACCGAGCAGCCCAATACTTATAGTCTTGATTTTAGAAAGCTGAGGAAGATAATGAAAACCAGGTTTGTTTCTAACAAGAAGTGCTCTAAGGAAATAAAAACATGATGTGATAGGACAGGATGCCACTTCCTTTAGATAAATAGTTGTCTTCCTCTTGAAGAGTTACAAGAAGAGTATTCCAGGGGAAGTCAGAGCCTGAGGCCAAGAGGATAATGTGCTTGAGCAAGGCAAACATGGCCAGTGAGAGCAGGGTGTCATGAACCAGGTACAAGGAAGTGAGGTGAGATGAGAGAGGTTAAGCATTCATACTTCCTGAAGTACTGTGAGAAGTGCGAGGCGTTAATGTTTTCGCCCTTGTAAATCCATCATCGATCAGTGTATCTGTGTACCTGTCATCTGTTTATTATTATCTATAGCTGTTTGTAAATACATATACATATGTGATATGAAATGCTGTTATGTCTTCTTTCACTATCATGTGTCTTATCTACAGATACATGTGAGTACATGCACATTTATTTATTTATTTGATTTTTTTTTTATTTTGAGGCAGCGTCTTATTCTGTAGCTCTGGTTGTCCTGGAACTTACTCTGTAGATCAGGCTGGCCTTGAACTCACAGAGATCCCCCTGCCTCTGCCTCCTGAGTGCTGGGATTAAAGGTGTGCACTACCATGCTCAACTCACGTGCATTTATAACATAAAATGTAATTATGGCTTTTTTAAAAAAATGTTTTTAATGCTCACAGTTTTACAGCTCTCTGTAGACATTTTTTGTTACCCTGAAGAGAGGCATTAAGTAATAACTCCCTGTTTCTTCTTTCTCTAAACCCCCTGGTAACCTCTAATTTTATTGTGAATTTTGTCTATTCTAAATACACGTGAGATCATACAGAATTTGTCATTTTGTGTCTGGCTTATTTTCTTTGTAATATTTTTAAACTATGTTTTTATTATAACATATATCAGTATTTTATCCCTTCCTATTGCTGAATAATTTTACATTGTATGTATGTGTCCTATTTTGTTTATTCATTCATCTTTTGAGGGACATGTGTGTTGTGTATACCTTGAATTATGTGTCAGCAAACCGTGTCCTACGTGTGTGTGTTTGAGTCTGTTGTGTATGTAGGAATGGAAGATGATATGCTAGGTCTTTCTTTAGCATTGGAAAGTCTATAAGCCCTTCGTGGTAGCTGCATTATTTTACATTTCTATAACACTGCATAAAGCTTTAGCACGTTGTATTTACTCATTTATGCTTGCTCTTGCTCTTCATCATAACGTTTCATAGGTGCCAAGTGGTTTATCACTGTCCTTTTTATTTGAGTCTCCAAACACTAACAGTGGATGACAGACTCCCCAGTGGTTGTCATGTGCTGGTTGTTATTTGTATGTCTTCTTTGGAGAAATGGCTGTTAAAATCCGTGCCTATTTTTCAGTTGGTTCTTTATTATTATTGTGAGTTTTAGGAATTATTAATATGTTCAGAATATTAAACCCTTACTAGATACATATACTTTGCAAATATTTTTCCCACTCTGTTTTTTGTCTTTACTTACGCTTTCTTGTAATATATTTTGGTACATGAAAATTTTAAAATATGATAAAGTTGGTTTATCTATTTTACTTTGTTGTTTGTTTTTGGTTTCAATATCTAAGAATTCATTGCCTTGAGGATTTTCTATTTAGTGTTTATGGCTTTAGCTCATGTTTAGATTGATGTTTCATTTTGTTTAATGTTTGCATGTGGTTCAAGGCAGGGGTGCTTTGAGAGCTTAAAGCTGGGAGGTGTTACCAAGTGTTGTTCTGCTTCACAGTCTTGCTGCCACTACCCAGAGTTTCTTAGTCATGTCAGGAATGTACTGTGTGAGTACTCGCTGGAAAGGTTGAGTTTTTTCATTGAATGTTGTCCTTGCAGAATCATTCTGTCTCTTGTTATTTTTTCTGGAAGCTGTTGGATATAATCTCATTATCAGAAGCCTATTTCTACTAAGGGGTAATTATATTTCTTTATTTCTCCAGATACAATCTCCCAGAATTCTTCTCTGTCTTACTGTCATGAAACAAGAGGTACTTACCATTCCCCACACCCGTCTCCAGGAAGCAGCAGTCCTCGGCCTTCTGTAGTTGGGCGTACAGGCCAGAGGCCCCGAGGAGATGGTCAGGACTGGGATGCAGTGTCTTCCAGGTGACTGGCTCCTGTACCTGTTTGTATTTTAGGAGAAGAGAATCATTCTTTCCTGCCTTCTCTTGATTAATTGCCCTATGTGTAGGCCTGTTTAAACCGCTGTCTTTCATAGTTTCGTTATTGTGATCTGCAGGTTAACAAATGTTACCTTGAAACTGTGTACTCAGAACACATTGATATTCTTTCTCTGACTCTGTGTGTGTGTTACCAAAAACAACATGTTGACAGCATTTTACTTTGATTTGCTATTCTGCATCCAATCTGTATTACCTATTTCTTTCTATTTCCTTAAGAAAAAAGAAATGGTTTTGATCCACTAAGTTATTTCTATCAGTTATACATAGAATATTACTTATTTAAAAAACAAAACAAAACATGGCTTTAAAGCAGTGGTTCTCAACCTGTGGGTCAAGACCCCTTTGACAAACTTCTATCTCAAAAAATATTTTATTACAATTCATAACAGTAACAAAATTATAGTTATGGAATAGCAGTGAAAATAATTTTATGTTTGGGGGGTTCACCACAACATGAGGAACTGTATTAAAGGGGTCACAGCATTAAGAAGGTTGAGAACCACTGCTTTAAATGAATGATACATTTAAAAATTTGTGTGTATGTGTGTGTTGCCGGGGGGAGTTGGGATAGGGGCTAGCATGTCCTGCAATATGTGTGGAGATCAGAGGACAACTTTGGATTTGATTCTCTTCTTAATCTTTACATATGTTTTTGGGGTTAACTCAGATCATCAGGCTTTCATGGTTAAGTGTTTTTATCCACTAAGCTGTCTCTCCATCCCTGACATATTTTTTAAATGGTATTTTTATACACATTTCTGTAAGCCTAATCATAATTTAAAATCCTGTATATTTGGAAAGGAACGTTTAGAAAATATTGTTTAAATGGGGACTCTTTCAAGGGGCATCATTTTTCTGTGTGAATGCAGATTTTTCATAATTTTTCTTGAAGGGATGGCATTGGATTTCTGTTAGCTTATAGTAGGCATAAATTTTGTAACAGTAGCCTTTTCTTGAATATAGTCCTAAGCAATGTTCAGTGAGGTAGCCTGTGTCTTGGCTTGGTTGTTGCTGCTGCTGCCTAACAAGCTCACACAGATTCAGGTGCCTATGAGTGTGATGTTAGTACCACATGGTTTACATTCCTGACCTCTTAGTCCCCTTCAGACAGTTTTGTAATAGGATAGGCATTGTTATTATTGACATACAGAAAAGCCTGCATTTTCAACAGGTTGAAACCGTGGCACTTGTAAGGGGTAGTGTTGTGGCTGCGTGTGCTAAGAGCGCATCGTGCTCGTCGGTGCTTGGCTGATAACTTGCAGGTTTTCTTTTTCCTGCTGTAAGGCATGCATTACTGCTTGGTTCTTCGTGTGTACAGCTCCCTCACAGGGTCTGTCAGACATTGAGAGAAACTTGGGTGGTTTACTTCCATGTTTTGGGATGCTTGGGATCTTGAAGCTAAGAAGTAAGGAAATAGGCATAAAATCTGGGCAGTTTTAAATGTCCTAATAGCATATATCAATGATTCAGCTGTAGTTGTGGATGACAGAAGTCAGAATTTTGAGGACCCAATGTAAGAATTTTTTTAATGAAGAAACCTTTTCAAAATCATTATACGATGTTGAACACACCAGTAAAGTGACCTGTTCCCTGTGCTGTCTTTGAGGCCATTCTCAAGCTGCTCTCATTGGCTTCCTTAGAACCATGGCTGAAAATCACAGAAGCCCTTGGCAACTTTATAAACTGGTTCTATCCTTATGACTGACTCCCATCAATGCTTTCCTGTAAACCTACTTGTTTTGTTTTAGAAGTGAGTGGGCTATTGCTGCTCATGTTTGCTGCTATGGGAATGCTGGTATTTCAGAATCATTAATATGAAAAGCAAGGTATAAGTAAATGTATTTTTTGCTTCATGTTCAAGTTTTCTTTTGTGGTGTTGCAGTTCTTAGTCTAGTACATGATAGGTAAGTGCTATGTCACTGAGCTGTATCCCAGACTCCTTCGTGTGTCATCTAGGCTCTCTATATGGAATTTAGTCTAATTTGTCAGAATTCTTACAAGAGTCAGTGTGGTTGTGAGTGGTGTGAGTTCTACCATGCAGCAGGTAACAGCAAGTCTGCTGGAGGGTTGCTTCCTTACTCAAGGTCTGACTTTGTTTACTTTCCAGTGGAAGTAGTAGTCATGCTCATGTGAACTCTAGGATATCTGTGCGTTCTCCTTTGGATGCGGCACACGTAGATCTGCCGGAGCTGGAAACAGAGGATGCCCTGGAGCTGCAGTTCCAGCAGCTTAGTCTTCCTCAGTTCTGCATCTCCATCCTGGAGGCAGCAGTTCCTCTGCTGAGAACAGGTTAGCTGTGTCTGAAACCCGGTCCTACAGTTTGTGTTTATGTGTCTCCTGCAGCTGACTGGCTCTTTCTCTTTCCTGTTACAGTTTTTAGTATCTATTTTTACTTACCTTTCCCAAGAAATTAATAAGCCCCTCCCCTTCTTTACTTTACTAAATGTGAGTGCCATGCTGATACTCAAATAGAATATTCTCTTCTATTCATAGGTTTTTATTGTCATGGGCTTCTTCTGTATTTTAAATATGAACACTAACTATAAGATTTATGTGAAAAAAGTTAAGAAAGATAATTACGACAAGCAAAAAAAATTCGCTGTTGTTCTTTAGTCACTGTTTGAGTTACTCTACTTAACATTCTTGTCTTTTAAAGAAAGATTTATTTATATTTATGTGTGTGAGTGTCGGTGGTTAGTGCCCATGGAGGTTACTCTACTTAACATTCTTGTCTTTTAAAGAAAGATTTATTTATATTTATGTGTGTGAGTGTCGGTGGTTAGTGCCCATGGAGACTAGAAAAGGGCATCAGATCCTCTTGAATGAGTAACAGGGTTATGAATCATCATGTGGGTGCTGGGAACCAAACCTGGGTCCTTTTTTAAGAGCAGTAAGTGCTCCTAACTACTGAACCATCTCTCTAGCCACATTTATATCTTATAAGCCAGGAAATGGTAACCAAACCCCTTAACTGGATTCCTAACCTTTATAACAATATATTTTACTGTAAAGAAACCCACAAATATTCTGGGTCACGTGTTACTCATATGTACTAAGTGTGCTTTACTAAAGAGCAGTAACAACAGTGAAAAAATGGCTGATTTCTACCAGAGTTTATTAGTGAGGCCTGTGTTGAGTCCCGGCCTGCTCTGTCATTGATTTCATGAGCATTTCATCCTGTGTTTGTCAACAACCCACTTTCTCCTTCAGCAGTGGTAGGTAGTGTTTTGTCCTCACGTTCTCAAACGAGGAAACGAGGGTTTAAAGTGATTTTCAGGCTGACCTAATGTCAGATGGCCAACAACAGACAGAGGCTTTTCAACATTTTGCAGTGTAAACAAGGAGTGGAAGCAGTAATGATTTTTATTATGTGAGTCTATATGTTCCTCCTCAGTATTGGAAATTGAACCAGGTTTTTATGTTTTCTAGGCAAGCACTCACCCCTAAACCTCCACATTTAGTAGTTGATGAACTTGTCAAGATATAAATATAAGCGACTTTTGCCCTTGTTAGTTTAATCATCAAAAAAAAAAAAAAATCCCGTATTACTAGTTAAAGTTTTAAGGTTTCTTTTGTTTTGTTTTTTCCTGCTTGGAGGTGATGGAGAGGAAAGTAGAACGAAGGTGTAAATTTGGGAAACATTTGTGCCTTGGAGAGCCCTGTCCCCTGCCTTGCCAGAGTAGAGACTGTGGCTTCCAGGAGTGCGAGTGCACGCTTTTCACGAGCTGACAGTGTTCTGTGATGGAAGAGTTGAACTTTGACATCATCAAGTGGTTTTGTTTATTTGTCTGGGAGAGTGGGAAGAACAGTTTTAGACCTAATGGTTTTCCATTTAACCTTTCTTTAATTTGCTGTAAAAAGTCAGATTGATAATTATAAAGCTATATCTTGCACATAAAAATTTCCAAATGTTCCCTTGCCCTTTTGCAGTAAATTATTGCATAATTTGTAATTGTTCAGTATTGTAAGAGGTGCAGAGCGAGCTTGCTCCAGCTGCTAATGAAAAAATGAATGCATATCTCTGTGATTCAGGAGTTTGTTTAACTAATAATTCATTAGGAATTAACCTTTAAGATAAAGGATAGGACAGTCTTATTTGAAATTTTGCCTCACTCAGAATTTTGGAAGTGTTTTTGTTTTTGGTCTCAGCAAATAAAGGAGAGTAATGGTTTCTTTTAGGAGAGTGTTGTTTTTGTTCTTTTGAGATGGTCTGGTAATGAGGCCAAGAACAGGTTATGTAACCAAGTACTGGCATTACAGGTGTGTACCACCATGTCTAGTTAGCACAGCATCTTTTGAAGTGTTTGTGGGTAGTTATGTTTTGTTTGTTTTTTACACAGATTCTTAGGTGCCCCAGCCTGGTCTTAAACATACTACATAGCTCAAGATGACTTTGAACTTCTGATCTTCTTGCCTTTACCTCTTGATTAATGGGATCAGAGGTATGCCTTACCATACCTGGTGTAGGCCATGCTGGAAGTAGAATCTAGGGCCTCAAGCAAGCTAGGCAACTTAGCTACATCCTCAGCATTGGATGGTATTCCTATAGTATATGATACAGTGTGGATGAACATGTATTCTTTTAGTTACTGTGGTACAGGATTAGCTTTCTATGTGACACTTATGTGTGAAAATACTCATCTATGACAAAGTTAAAGCTTGTGGTAGTGGACAGAAGTGATTAGAATGCATTCCCTAAATTTGCTTATTTGGTTGTATATAATGTGTAACATGTTTGAAATTGCTTAAATCTATTTCACGGTATTTTTAGTTATTTCTACTCTCAATCCACTTTTCCACTTATGAGCACATTTGATTTGTTGTAGTGAGTTTGTGATGTCCTCATTCATCTTGCTAGCAGTTTTAAAAACATCAAAAATGGGGAAATAGGAATTTGGGAGCATGCCTAGCTAGAGGGTCCAACTGATTATCTGAAAATGGAGTGACTTTCTTTTCCCTTGCTTTTCTCCTGTCTCTATGTCTAGGCAGCAGAGAAATGATCATAAGAGTTCTGGAACTGCTTGCAGAGAACATGATGCTCATTGGACAAGCAATTTCACCCGAAATCTGGGATGATAGCAGCCTCTTTGCTATAGATGTGGTGAGAATCATCTTCTTCTTTAGGGTATAGACTTTTCTGGCAAAATACATGATAGGCTCATTTTTATGCATCTCTAAATGAATCTTTTCCTCATTGGTTTGTTTTACATTAATAGGAACAAATTGTGCAGAACAATAAGAGGCCACTTGGGTATGATGGGTGTCACACCATCCTTTCTTTTCTATAGCATAACTATGGTATCTAATGTAAAGATTTACCAGTTTGTATTGCTGTTTTCTGATTTTAAATTTTTTTATACTTTTGCTCATAGAAAGTGTTAGTTCATAACAAGAGCAAAATAATTAACTTTAGTTGTTATCATACGTAAGATAGTTTGAGAATAGCAACATTGCTGTCATGGAACAATTCAGAAAACTCACTGTTTCCCAGCAGTTCTTTCTGACTTAGAGTAAATTTAAACCTTAGGACAAAAAGTTGAAATATTGTATCTTACTACTTGAAAGAATTCTTTTTTTCCTTATAATTTTAAGAAAAAATTATATTAGCTCAGTTTATTTTCAAAAAAGGTAAAAATGTAACTCTGGAGCCCCTGGCGGTGGGACCAGGACTTATCCTGGTGCGTGGAATGACTTTTTGGAACACATTTCCTAGGATGGGATAACATGCTCAGCCATGGAACAGCAGGGAGGGCCTTGGTCCTGCCTCAGCTTAGTGTGCCTGACTATTAACTCCCCAAGGGAGGCCTTACCCTCTCTGAGGAGTGGATGTGGGGGGAGTGGGGGAGGTGGGGAGTGGTGGGATAAGGGGAAGGAGGGGGAACTGGAGTTGTTATATAAAATGAAAAAAAAAAACTTTTTTAAAAAAAGAAATACATTTAAAAAATACCAAAAAATGTAACTCAGATTTCTCTCCCTGAAATTTCTTAAATTGATATCATTGCAAGTGAATTTTAAAGAAAAGAGTGTTTGATTTGCCCTAGTGTCTAGAAATACAATAGAATGTTCTGTATTGATCTTGTGACTTTGTTGAACTTGTGGATTCTGAGAAGTTTTTTTCTCTCATTGTTCCAGTTTTGGTAATTTCTTTAGGATTTTCTTTCTATGGAATCGCACTGTTGGTGAATAAACAGTGTTAGGACTGTGTTATCTATGGATAAAAAGCCTCATTTCTGTTTAGTCAATTTAGATATTCTTTAGTTTCTTCTTGTGGGCCCATTGCTCTGGCTGGAACATCGAGTCCAGTCGGAGTGGATGTGCTGAGAGCCTTGTTCCTCATCCTGTGGGTTGTAGTTAGTCTTTAAGGATTAGATACAGTCTGAGTTCTCCAGTTTTGTTAGGTGCTCTTAGGAAGCTGAGAAGAAGTTCTCTATATTCCTTAATTTGAGTTTTTTGAATAGATGTTGGATTTTAAACTAGCTTTTTCAGTGCCTTATAGAGATGATCATTTTTTTAAAATAGAAGTTATTTGTTTTTCTGTTTATTTTTATATTTGAGTCATGGCCTTGCTAGATATTTCAGGTTGGCCTTGAACTTGATCTTGAAGATTCCTGCTTCAGCCTCCCTAGTGCTGAGGCTATAGGTATGCATCCCCATGCTTGGCTGGATATTACACTGTGTGTCTTGATTTTAAAGCGTTTGTCCTTGTAGAATGACAGTCTGTGCTAACAAGTGGCTAAGCTGTCTGCACAGCGGTCTCTCCTCATTGAGGCCTATTTAAAGTTTGCTAGAAAGGGTCTGAACAGTGGCTTCAAAGTGGAGCACTTTTGTCCTCCAGTGGACGTTTGGCGGTGTCCAGAAGCGCTTTTAGTCGCATAGTTGGAGTGGCATCTAGCAGCTAGAAGCCAAGTCAGCTCTTCATAAGAAACATGTTTTTAGCTGAAGGTATCAATAGTATCAAGAGTGAAGAACTATAGTCTTAGAGTATCCTTACATAGGTCTGGATTCTACTCAGGGTGAGATGTGGCCCCCTAGGGCTCCTATTGGATGTCTGCAGTGATTCCTGATGACTTCTACTGGTTGACGCTCAAATCTTTATTGTCCTGTCTGCACCCTGTGATTTGTTCATGTTAAATCTCAGTGGTTAGATTTGGCCCACATGTATGCAGGTTGCATCTGTAACTCAAGTCACGCATCTCAGCATGGACCAGTGGAACGGTGTTGGCTTGCAGACCTCTTTCTGTGCATTGCTCTCGTGTGTAGTCCTGTCGCCTGCAGTGTCTAACCATCTCAGTTTCCGCACCATCTCCATCTTCTGAAACCACTGTGGCCGTCATACTCCACGGGCCTCTTTATCTGTGTTTTCTCTCTCATTGTTTTGGTTTTGGTAGTTTCTTTAGGATTTTCTTTCTGTGGAATCATACTTGCAGGCACCACAGGGCCTTCTCTTCTCGTTTTTCTTTCCTCTGACATGACAGTTTTGTACTGCTAATGCCCAGTGTCTACTAATTTTTTCCTTACTTTGTGCAGCTTTTTAGTCGTTTCCTAGGAAGAAATGTCTAGTCCATATTGCTATTTTATGACCCAAAGCAGAGGCTTTAAATTATGCTGTTTAAGCAACTGACTTATCTGGAAGTTACCAGAGTTTTAATTGTCCAGTTATTCTGCAGTATAGTCTACATCTCTCTGAGTCATTATGTGTGAACAAATGCTATGCTGGTTAGTTTTTGTCAACTTGACACAAACTAGAGTCACCTGGGAAGAGGACCTTAGTTGAAGAATTGCTGCCATTAGATTGGCCTTTGGGTATCAATAGGGATTTTCTTAACTGCTGATTAGTTTAGGAGAGCTTAACACACTGGGGCCAGTGCCATCAGGTGGGCCTGGGCCATATCAGAAAAGTAGCCGAACAAGATAGAGGAAGCAAGCCAGCAGGCAGAGTTCTTCTGTGGTCTGTACTTGAGTTCCTGTCTCTGGGTTCCTGCCTGAGTTTCTGGTTGACTTCCCACGGTGATGGACTGTGAAACTCCTTCCCCCAAGTTGGTTTGGTCAGTGATATATCACAGCAAAAGGAAGCAAGCTAGGACAGATGTTTGTTCTCCACTCTGTGTTTGGTAGATAAGCTCAGAAATACACAGTAGCTCCAGGAATGCTGTATTATAGCATAACATTCAGGAGGTCTGTAAACTACCAAAGTTTGGTTGTTTTTAGTGCTAGAGTTTGAACCCAGGACCTGTTGCACAAGAATTTTACCACTGAAACACATCCTCAGCCCTTAATGTATCCTTAGTAATTAGAAACTATAACTTTTTTGACATTTCAGTATATCATAATTCCTTTGCCATTTATATCTTTTATTTTACAATTATCTGATAAACATTTTTCTTGGAAGAATGGTATTGTCTCTTTTGTTAATGACAATTAGTAATGTCTATTCTCTTAATTTTCCTTCCTTTCTTTTTGTTTTTGTTTATCCTGTTAGGGAAATATTATAATAATTCATTAGTCATAGAAAATATTTATTGCTTTTAAGATAAATTATTTAGTGTTTTGTAAATGTTGGGGATCAAACCTAGGGCCTTGCGTGGGCTGGGCATATTCTTTCCACCTAGCTGTATCCCCAGCCCATGCGATGATTTACAGTTACTGAATTTTCTTTGTTATTATGGTTATGTCTGTCTATATTTAATGAAGGTCTGTCTGGGCTGTTAGAGAATGGGTTGTTAGTATTCCTTCGGAATAGAAGTCAGAACACAGGTAAACTACATATAGTGCAGATAGTTACGTAATAAATACTTGGATGTTAATTATCTTTGTGATGCTATAACGAATACTTGATTTAACTTGTCAAGGGAAAAGGTTATTTAGACCTTTTGGAGTTTACAGTTTAAGAATGAGTGGACCTAGTTGCTTTGGGTTCAGGTAGGTGTGTGTGTGTGATAGCAGTGGTGGTCTTTGTATGATGTTAATTTGCATACCGCATGGCCAGAAAGCAGAAAGAAAGGGGAAGAGGCTAAGGCTCCTTTGGTCCTCTTCAAATGAAAGCCTCGGGGACTTAAGGATATTCCACGGGCTCTCCCTCCTGATAGCTTCACCCTGGAGGCCAAGCCTTTAGCACTTAGACCTTGGAGGCGGTTAAGCTTCTAACTGTAACAGCACCACTTATACACATATCTCTGGTGTTATTTTTTATGATACATGTGCCTTGAAGAGATAGGTAAATGGCGTACAGGTTCAGTTTCCGTGAATAGTTTCGTTTTTGAGAGAGTCTTGTGCGTCCTAGGCTAGCCTCCCCACTCATTGTGTAGCAAAAGATGATCCTGAACTTCTGGTCCTCTTGTCTCCATTTCCCAAATGCTTGGATTGCAAGCATGAGAGACCTTCCCAAGGCAGTAATTTAGAGCTTTTTGCATGCTGAACAATCATACAACCAACTGAACTACACCTCTAGTCCTGATAAAATAATTCTTCATCTTCGTTTTTCTTTAAAGTTATTCTCCTTCATAGTACTTTTTTAAAAAAGGAGATTTTTTTCCCCCCACATATTGAAGGTTTTCAGCAAGTAATTTTATTCTTAGAAATGTGAGGAATGAATTATCAGTTTTTTCTAAAATTAACTTGAAGATGCTTGGCCAGAACATTTATCTGTGAAAGTTAGTCATTCACTTTTTACTTTTGGTTGCTGATCTTTGGTGACTCAGTGATTTTTTTTTTTTTTTTTAACTATAAAGGTTAAATCTGTTATACAAGTGCCAGTTGGTAGGTAAGAAATGCTACGTCAAATATCAGTACTTGAAATTATACACAATTTACTTAAGAATGAATACCTCCTTGGTAAAAGCTGTTTTCTTCAGTGTTATAGTAAAGGAAGAAAAAACCTGAATTTTCTTTTTGTTCCTACTTTGGCCAAATTTAAGGTGAAAAAATATTGTTGTTAAGTCATTAAAGGAGTACCACAATATATTGTTATCAATTTAGAAATTAAATACTTAAGGGTATATAATCATATTTCAAGATAGTTCTAAATAGTTCAGTCGTGTCTAACATTCTGTAATTCAGTTTTTTTAAGCACAATATAATGAATCTTTCCCTAGAATTGAATACCTTTATTCATTTGAAGTAAATAAGAGAAAATTATTTTTGTTAAAAGAGAAAATTTATTGCTAAGCATTTGCCAAAATTAGATTTTTTCCAGAGTACCTCATTCTACCTTGCATACAAAATCAGGTCTGCATTTTTCCTTGCACACATGGCAGTTAGGTCGAGGAGCTGCGGGCTGTGCCTTTCTCTCAGGTCGTGTCGGCTTCCTCCTGTTGTCCTTCGTTTCTGTTTCATTTCAGTCCCTGGGTCCCTTCACTGTAGCTCACTGGCAAGCTGTCCTTTTTTGTCTTCGTGTCTCAGTGCTTCTAAGTTCCCAAGTGATTTGCAGTGAGTGTGCAGTGTGCTTAGTCTGCAGGCGGTTTTCCATTTGAGCTTTTATGTGTACTGTGTTGGGAGTAAGACTCTTTATGCTTTATATGTATACCTTTCAATGTGAAAGGTTCACTGTCCTGGCTAAGTGGTAAGTTTCGTGGAAATTTATAATAAAATATTTTCCTCTTAAGACAACATTGCTACTTGAGAAGAAAGTTGACATAATTTGACAGTTTTTTTTAGTTTGTTGGCTTCTGTTTTATTATTTAATAACATTTGGGTCAGTTTGAGGATACAGCTGTTAAATTACATCCTTACCCCGTAACACTTGCCATTGTATGCAGCACATATTCAGACACGCATTAGAAGCAAGGTCCATATGTATGTGTGCTCCAGTTTGGAACGTTAGGCAGTGAGAACAGGGAGGAGTTTATAGCCCATTAAGCTTTTGTGTTTTATTGTTTTTGTTATCATTAGTTAGGATTTTTCACTCAATACTCAAGCACTGGTAGCTTTTCATTACAACATCAACACATTTGTCATTCCTTTGTGTTTTTATTATTATCACATAGTTGATGGTCATTTGGTTGAGTGGCATAAATTTTTGTGTTGGATTTTTAATGATAGTTTTTTTTATTATATTTTTTTATACATTTTGCATACCAACCACAGATCCCCCTCTCCTCCCTCCTCCCGCTCACCCACACCCTGCTTTCTCCCCACCCACCCACACCCTCTCCCCTCTCCAAAAGGGTAAATTCTTCCATGAGGGGACAGCAAAGCCTGGCACATTGAGTTGAGGCAGGACCAAGGCCCTCCTCCCTGCATCAAGGGGGAGCAAGGTGTCCAACCATAGGTAATGGGATCCAGAAAGCCGGCTCATGCACCAGGGTTAGATCCTGACCACACTGCCAGGGGCCCATAAAACAGACCCATCTACACAACTGTCTCCCGTATGCAGAGGGTCTAGTATTTTAACAGTAGTATTTTATTTGTTCTCAATGCTATTTACATGCAAAATTGATCGTTTTGGTTAGTTTTATCTTGTTTGAATGTTTTCAGAAAGAGAAACTGCTCCAGGTATTGGGATCCCTTGGAGAAACCATATGTTACCGTAAAACCAGCTTTAACTTGGAGCAAGCTGAGGCTCTGCTTGTGCACCACAGGATGGCTTTCGTCAGCATTACACTGTTCACAGTTCGACTGTTGCAAATCCTTCTCCCCGTTGAAAAGGTAAGGGAGATAAGGCTGGATGCTTGTACTGAACATTGTAAATAAGTGACTATTTAATGGTGTGAAGATGTTCTGCTTTAGAATGTTTTCAAAATCTATGTGGTATAGCACCGCATCCTGCATGGTTGACCCTGGGAACCTAACTGACGAGAAAATGAAAATAGACTAACACACAGACCCATGTACAGAAAAGCCAGGATCAAGTGGGCCGTGTGCTCTGATGGAGACACACCACCACCTGCAGAAACCCAGAACTAAGCCTATTTATTCTATACATATCAATCAAGGAGATGGGTTTATTGTATGCAGCTGAATAAGGAGGTAAATTTAGCTAATCTAGCTAGGAGGTCTCTGTCTTAGTTACTATTCTGTTGTTGTGAAGAGACATCATGACTAAGGCAGCATATACAAGAAAGCATTTAATTTGGGGTTTGCTTACAGTTTCAGAGGGTGAGTCCATGACCATTATATCAGGGAGCAGGGCAGGCAGGCAGGTAGGAATGGCAGTGGAGCTGTAGCTGAGATCCACCGCAGCAGGCAGAGAGAGAGAGAGAGAGAGAGAGAGAGAGAGAGAGAGAGAGAGAGAGAGACAGAGACAGAGAGAGACAGAGAGAGAGACAGAGAGACAGAGAGAGAGAGACAGAGAGAGAGAGACAGAGAGAGAGACAGAGAGAGAGAGACAGGGACAGACACTGAACTGGGCATGGCATGGCATTTTGACACCTCACACCCTACCTACCCTCATTGACACAATTCCTTCCACAAGGCCACACTGTCTAATCCTTCCTAAACAGTCCATCAACTGGAAGCCAAACAATTAAATATGTGTTGTATGATATTAAAATATCATACAACATGTATGAGCCTATGGGAACCATTCAGACCACCACAGTCTCTAGGGGAGCAGTCTCAGCTTGCAGTCATACTGGAGGAGGAAGTCATACTGGAAGCTGTGCTTGGTAATTTATGCATATAGTGTACACTGATCAGTAGAAGGCTTTGCAGATTCCCTCTGAGTTTCCCCTGGGGATGGTTTGGCCACGCCCAGTGTGGCTGAGGCATTGGAATCCTAGACATGGCTATGCCCATGTGAGTAATACACATTCACTCAGGAAGTCATCTGCCCCTCACACATTCACCCAAGGCTTCCTCTACTCCTCACAACTCCCCCTTTTTTCTTTCTTTCTTTTTTTTTTTTAATTTCTTTTAGTTTTGGTTTTTTCGAGACAGGGTTCCTCTGTGTAGTTTTGGTGCCTGTCTTGGATCTTGTTGCCCTCGAACTCAGTGAGATCTGCCTGGCTCTGCCTCCGGAGTGCTGGAATTAAAGACGTGGGCCACCACCACCTGACTTCTTTTTTATTTCTTAAATGCTGCTGTTGCAGCTTGACTTGTGGTTCAGCCACAGTTTTTGTGATCTCTGGAACCTGGCTAAGGAGAGAAAACATGGAGGCCTCTGGCCTGGGTGATTTGTGTTTATTCTGCTCAAAAACTAGGAAAGCTTGAAAATCAGTAAGCTCTTTCCCTTGAAGCGGGCCTCTCTCAGGGCTGCTTTTAAGATCGCTGCTACAAGCAGCTGCTGCTGGCCTAGTCCACCAAGTGGAAGGGACAGAGCTGTTTCCTGAGGTGGTGCCCAGCCTGCCCTGTAGTGGCCAGTGCCCTACTATCAAGGAGTTCCCATCCAAGAGGCATATGCTACCTCAGATCCTGGCCTTGCAGACAAGGGCTCCGTAGCCTAGGGTGGGGAGGCTGGTTCAGTTGTCCTGCTTTAGCTCAGGGGTAAGAGCAGCTTGCTTTTGCCAGAGATCAAGCTGAAACACAAGAGTCCACTGCCCCTGACCACTTCTACACCTGAGGGAAAAAAAAGCCTAGACAAAGATCTGGGCAGGTTGTCTGGAAGTCCAGGAACTATTGCAGTGTGGGCAGGTCAATGGTGACTGTAACATGAATTTTAAAAGGTCTCATTAATAAAAAAAACACAGAGCCAGATATTGGGGTGAAAGCTGAAAGATCAGAGAAGCAGAAAGAAGCCAGCCATGTTCTTCCTGCTAGGAAATCTCAGAAGAGAGAGCTACTTCCTGTATACTCATGCCTATATCCTTCCTGTCCCTGTCATCTTACTTCCTCTCTTCACCCACCTACATCATTTTGCTCTTTCTGCCTAGCTCTATCACTTCCTGCCTGTCTGTACAGACCTTCAGACCTCTATGGTTAACTAGCCCTGGGATTAAAGGCGTGTGCCACCATGTCTGGCTCTGTTCCCAGTGTGGCCTTGAACTCACAGAGATCTGGATAAATTTTTGCCTCCCGAATGCTAGGATTAAGGGCATGTGTTACCATTGCCTGACCTCTATGTTTAATATAGTGGCTGGCTTTTTCCTCTGATCCCCAGATAAGCTTTATTGGGGTACACAAATAAAATATCACCACAGGTGACTGACTATAAAGTGATTTGCTACAAACTTGTGGAACTCCAAAAACCTAAAGAATCGAGATGAGTATAATCCATTTCAACAGCCAATTCATAAGGAAAATACTGCCAGTAAAATCTCTGTCAGAGAACTAAAATATAACTTCAAAACATGAGCATAACTGCCTCTTCCTGGGTTCTGCCTGTCCCATGTTTTACACCTAGCATTTAGCCATGCACTCGTTCTCTCTCTCTCCCCCTCCCTCCTTCCTCCCTCTCTCCCTCATTCTCTTCCCAGACTTCTCTCAGACTTATGTAACTTGGTCCTGGAAACCTGATTGGGGTGACCAAGGAATGACGATAGGACAGACACACAGACACATGGATAGACGAGCTGGGATTGGGTGGGCTGTCCACTGTGACAGACACTGACACCAACAGCCACCCTGAGACTCAGCGTGAGGAGGTGGTTTATTGTGTACAGTTGGACAAGGCGGCGGTCTAGCTAGTCTGGGCAGATCTGTCTGTAGGGGAGCAGTCTCAGGCTGTAGTCATCCAAGAGGAAACTGTGGTTGCTACTTTCTGCACACTGGTCAGTCTTTCCTAAATGCTCATACTTGGACCAGAGGAAGGCTTTGCCAGTTCCCTGGGCCTGACTGGGGAAGGCTTTGCCATTCCCACGTGTCTGAGACATTGGGGTCCTTGACATGACTATGCCCCTGACAACATACACATTCACTCAGGACTTCATCCCCACCTTACCAGTTTACTCCTGGCTTCTCCACCCTCACAATGGAGTGATTTTAAGGGAGACATAGAAAGTGACTAGTACCTTGAACAGTTTTGGCAAATCATTTGATGGAAAGAGATTTTTAAAATTTCATAATTCTTTTTGCATATGTTAAGTTTATTTGATTTTTCTACACTTGTATGTATATTCCTTCATTTGTTTATTTAATCAATATTTAACTCATTGCCTTTGGCTAGTAGTAGTAGAAACTGGATGTAGAACTAATTAAGTTTGAATTGGTCTCATAGAACTTAGTCTTGTCTAAAGCTTGCTGTTATTAATGTATTTATTTACATGCTTGACTTTCCTAAGTTCATTATAAAACAGATTTATTTTGTGTGTGTTTTATCTGCATGTGTATATGCAGATCCCCTGGAGTAGGAGTTATAGATGGTTATAAGCTGCCATGTAGGTGCCAGGAATTGAACCTTGGTCCTCTGTAAGAGCAGCAAGTGCTCTTGTTCAGTGAACCTCTCTTCAGCTCCTGGTTTCATTTCTTTAATAAGTTTGGGGTCACATGAAGGGCAGTGATCATGTTTTCAATTTGAATTCATTTTACCCTATTATTTTTACTTTTACTAAGCATACAGCAAGCCTTAAAAATACCTCATGTATATAGGGAGACTGAAACACATCTATTTAACTGATAGACCTTTTAATTGAATGGCTGTCAGTACAAATATACCCATGCTCTCCCCTCTGCAAGTGAGTGGTATAGCTCTTGATGCTTGTCATTCCTGGCAGGGTTAGGTGCTGTTTCTGTTCAGCTGGGTAGAGTTTGTTACTTATACCTATTCCCAGAATTCCTTGGCACATGTAATATATAGTTTCCAGTCTTTCAGAAATTACATCCTTGTTGCACACCCTAATGCCATCTATATTCTCTCACTTTGACTTTTCAGAATAGATAAGCAGCACCTTAGCATCCAGGGATTGATCAAGTTCGTTTCTTAATATTGTTCTTTTTTTATACATACTGTACTCTCCGTTGCATATTCTAGCTTAATAACTTCTGTGATTTATTTATTTACTTATTTTTTGATAACACACACATATCTTGAACGTTTTCTTTTCCGCTTGCCTCCTTTTACCAGCAGTATAATTACTTGATATTATTTATTTTGTCAGTTTACCAAAAGAATTAAAAAAATGCATATTTGAAGCCGGGCGGTAGTGGCGCACGCCTTTAATCCCAGCACTCGGGAGGCAGAGCCAGGCGGATCTCTGTGAGTTCGAGGCCAGCCTGGTCTCCAAAGCGAGTTCCAGGAAAGGCGCAAAGCTACACAGAGAAACCCTGTCTCGAAAAACCAAAAAAAAAAAAAAAAAAAATGCATATTTGGTAGTATTAAATACCCTGATGTTTAGGGACTAGAGAGATGGCTCAGGGCTTAAGAGCCCTGACTGCTTTTGCAGAGGACTTGAGTTACTTCCCAGGATCCATGTTGGGCAGCACACAAGCACCTGTAATTTTACTGCCAAAGTTATGACAGGACTCTGTGGGTACCAACATGCATGTGTATTTACATGTGCACACAGACACACATAAATAAAAATACAATCTTAAAAATCCTAATTTTTGACTCATATGGTTGATATTTGATATATGGCTCTTTGTTTTAGTATCTAAGCTATATTGATGGTTTAAGCTAATTCTATGAATTCACGTTTTAGTATGTCTTTTGAAAGTTCTTTGTGATTGGCATATTCTTTTGCAGAGCTGCTGTTCTACCCTTGATGTTATTAAGACAGCTTTCTTCTGTCCTAGTCTTTAGTTCTTTTTAAAAATCTACTTTTCTATTTTAC